ATCATACTTGTTTATTTGTAATCACTAAAGTCTCACGGTCAACACCCAATAGATGTATTATAAACTAAATCTAACAAACCTTGAGGTGCATGTGAGTGAGTGACACCACAGATTAACGTGTCTACAAGGAAAAAGAAGAACAAGCAAATGCAGTTAACCATCTGTGCACACTGTGGATTTAGTATGATCCCTCAAGACGAATTCTGGCCCACCTTTCGTCTCAAGACAAAGCCCTTGAATTGAAACACATTGCGTAACACTAAGACGAACGCCAGCCAAATGAACTCGCAGCCGGCAGTTCAGAGATGTATTAACCACTTTCAAAGACGAATAGTTTCTCTTTGTAAGGCAAGATCTCTCTCACCTGGAAGCGCGGGTCGGCGCGGGACCTCACTAATGGTCTCGGTCTTTAATAGAGGTATCATCATCTAGTTTGATGAACCATTTCCCGTCCAGGAACTCCCCGTCGCTGCTCTCAAGGAGGGCTGAGTCAGGGACCTGATGGAGGAACATAAATGCATTAAAATGTATTTTGTAATAGTTTAAATTTCCGTCTTAATAGAAAAAAAATTATTGTAGATGATGATCTATGACTTATAATAATAATAATAATAATTTTTATTTAGGCAAAGGTACATACATAAAGAGATTTTACAAAGTTTGTTGGCTTTATAGATAAGAGCTAGTACATACAATGCCTAAAGCCACTATTACGCAAAGCGTTTCGGGCAGGTCGAATTAAATCGTCTTAGAGAGAAGTGAGGGTCTCAGTTCGTGCACTTCACTTCAGGAGACCATTTGCCATACATTTAAAAGCAGCAAGTGCTTCTAGATCTAATTATATCGTTAACGGTAGTCACAAAAGACATCTCATGTTGACAACGCTAAAGTTTTAGATATGAAAGTTGCATCTTGGTCATGTAGAGGGGAATATTATGGTCACATTGGACGAGTTTTAAAAGTTCGTCGGTGGGTATAGGGATTTTTAGTTTTCCAACGAGGGGATCTATTTTAGGGCATGTGGGAAAACAACCAATTCTCGAAAAACGAGAAGTGGTTGATGCTGAACAGGTTCACCGTAGTCATACTGTGTGTGTATAAAGAGAAGGTAGGTATTACCTTTTTGACTCCGTGACGTACCTTTGTCATAGGTGTATACTGTGGGTGGTGGTGCACCTTGTAGGGATTGTTGGCCCGCTTGTTGAAGGCGACGATGAACACCCAACGACGCCGATCAGACGAGTTCTGATCGGAGGTGTGGAAAAGGTTACAGTGGAAGAACAGGATGTCCCCGGCCTTCATCTCCACGTAGATGTGATCCAGCTGCTTCTGCGCCTGTGTGGAGACCGACACACACTGTCTGAAGCACGATAACACCTACGTAGTTAAATAGGCTAGGTAAGTTCCCCCTGGTAATGAGTGCTAGTCTCAGAGAAGGAAAACGGGAGGAAGATTCAAACCCTTCATTCCCACGTAAATGATCGTAAATGGGATCCAACTGCTTCTGCGCCTGTGTCACAGGTAATTTAACTCATGTGAAGCATAATCTTAGTGTGGAATAGCAGCTCTTAGCATGCCTTTAATCCGAACATATATATACAATTTCTAATAAACTCAATTTTTCTTAAAATAAGACCAAAGGAAGAAAAAAGGGCCCCAAGCCGGGAAGATGCGCATCACTGTGTCGCGGGATATTCAAGCAGCGATAAATACCACTCAAGATGCCAATACCAGAACAAAGGGACATCAGGCGATGGATATTAAAGGTATCGGATTCACCAAGGATTCAATCTGAGGACAAGTGATCCCGAGGGACATTAGGAAACCAAGATATTATCATTATGAAAAACGGGGCCATTCTACAAGATGTACGACTAAGTGTGACAATGCAGTTGGGACAATGAGCAGCAGGGCGACAATCCATCAAGTTGAAGTACGTTAACCGAGATAATAAGATACATCTCAAAAGAATAGAGTTACTTCTATTATTCTATCTGCTACTATAGCGTAGTATTCCATCAAATGCCACGAGTTAGGCGGGTGAGGTCTATACACAGCATATAATTAAGAGAAGCTGAAGCCTGGAGACACGTTCACATTTCTTAAAACATATTTTATTTCAAACTGCAAGAATGAGATATTTGTCTAAATTCGTGCAGTGGTTGCCTGTGCTTTCATACTAGTCGCAGGCGAGTGACTAATTTGTATCACACAATGCTACCTACACATTAGTGTGTTGAGTTAGTGAAGACCCTTAACCTCAAAGGAGAGAATAAATGGCCTTTAAAGAAGCCTTATATGTCCCCGATATGCCCTTTCATATTGTCTCCTATCAAACAAGCTTGGTATTTTATCTGTGCAATATTGTGCAATATTAATTACCTACAAAAATGGAGCGAAGCAAAATGTTAAAAGGCTGTGTAGATCTGCTCAAGTTTCTTTAATTTCATGCAGGAACTAAAGTTCGCAATACTAATTCACTGGAAAGGGAAAAATGACTGCCCTTGGGTCTCTTGTTGTCTCGAAGAGCCTGGAACTTAAATTCTTGTGGAAGCTCTTCATGCATTTTTCTTGTGGGAAATTTCAGGAAGCGCTCTTGCCAAAAGGCTAGTCAGTATTACCTCGCCCATTGTTACGCTATGAGTGTCGACTCGCCTCGCTGATCTGTTAGAACAACCAGTACACTGAGAACAATCTTGTGATCTGAGGAGCAGATATATCCCAACGGTTCGCAAGTATCTTTTATGCTGGAGGTAAGTAAGCAAAAGTTGCCGAGTATGTCACCCACCTGCTCCACTCTCTCCAGGTCAGCTCCCAGTTGCTCGCCCACCTTGATATGGTCAACACGTCCTAGATGGTGTGAACCTTTCAGCACTTGTAGACAGCTATTCTCCCTGGTACAGTCGTCCACGGGAATGAACACGGACCCCATGTCAGGGTACAAGCACCCGTTGTTGTACCAGTAGCTGAAACACCACATAATTTAATAATGTTCCCTTTTTGTCTTAACTGTGAAAATTAAGTATTCTGCGGCTCACATCCTTATCACTTATAGTCCTGTCTTGATAGACGCTGCCAGCCAGACGTCAAAAACCTCAAAGTCTTATTTTTTCTTATAAATATACCTGACAAGCAATTCCAGTTGGGACCTTTTTATGTCATAAAAACACCAGAACCAAACATAGAACTGATTTACACTTTGAATAGCCTCTGAACATGGCGAGAGACAGACGGACACGGCACAGAAACATAAGTAAGGAAATTCACATCATCAATTTCAAGACCCGTTATGTTTAGAGACAACTTAAGTGCCCCGCAGAATAGATATGCTACTTTTCACTGCGTCCACTGCAAACCATACTGTCCATACCTTGCCTTGCGATGATTTCGGGTCTCAACGTCCCCGCGGCCCGGTCCTTGACCAGGCCTCCTCGGCGACCATCCATGTGTATGTTATATAAAATAAGCACAAAGCCAAGAGGACTGTATAACTCTGTCGTAATATTAAATGAAAGGGGTCAATACCATAGTATAAAGACAAGACCTGTGATGTCAGGAGAGATTAGATTCACACAGGATTTAATAGAGGTCTATTTAGTGTAAGTGTAACTAATTAATGACCATGGAGACTAATGGTGACTTATATGATAACCGAGTTTGATATCTTAATAATTTGTTGACTACCATATAGCTGTGGAGGAGCATTCATGACCAGGCTTGTGTTGATCGTCTGAGCTGCCAGTAACCAGAAGAACTGAAAGCCAAATTAAAATGCCTATAACACCCATTCTAAAGATACCGATACCTAAGAGTTTTTAATGTAATTCTCAAAGTCCAGCACTGGTGCTGGTCAGACCTTAGTTCGTACTCGTGTGGTCCAGTGAAGGTACGCGACTGGCACACTATCCTCCGTCCTGTGCAGGAGGCAGTCCTATGTAAAAGGAGTATTTGGGAAGCCTATACCAAGTTGGAGGATAATTTTAAGAAATAACAGTTCCACCACTTTTGTCATTGTCTGACAACTCTTTAGCGAGAGTGACGCTTACTCGGTGGCATCTCCCTTGGAACTGGGGCTAGTTACAGTGACTAGACCTCTTTGGAAGGGTCGCTGTTCGATTCCCAGGTGGTGCAAGTGGCTGGATATTCATCCCTTCACCACGTGTCCTCCTGTCCCGTCTCCTTGCCCCCCACCCCCCCATACCCGCCGTCCCAGTACCACATAACCATACCAGCGCGAGCCCTTCTCCTGGTAATTATAATGCATCTACACACCGCTGGCCGGTCCCCACTGAAACGACTCCCATTAACATTTTTCAGCGACGAACGTCCCTCATGAGTGGCACCCCTCGCCCCCATGAGTGGCACCCCCTCGCCCCCATGAGTGGCACCCCTTCCCCCCAGAAAGGGACACACACATCCCTCCCAGAGGAGGAGACTGTGCTCCCCAGCGGCACTCACCCATAGTCCTGGTGCCAGACGTGGCGGCCGCCGGTGTGGGCGTCCTTCATCATCAGTTTACTGTGGTAGTGATACACCTCGTCTCCCCCCATCAGCTGCCGGAGGAGAGGGTGTGTCAGGAGGGGGGTGAGATGTGTCATGAGGAGGGAGAGTGAGATGTGTCATGAGGAGGGAGGGTGAGAGTGACGTGAAGGAAAAATATAACCCATAAATTGTTAACACAATAAGTAGAAATATATTGCCGCTGGGTGTGATAATTCCATTAAAAATAAACACATTAGTTAGTCATAAAATAGACTGAAGAATGACACTTTATTACAGAAAACGAAGAAAATTTCCCCATGTCGTCAACATCTCGTCACAAAATCTACTTAGCTAATGTTATACACTAAAATCAACAGTCCCAGAACTGAAACCAAATTAAAATGAATCTAGTAAATTAATTATATAGTTAATAAATGTTTGTCATCAAGCCCACTTATCCTTCAGAGTCTCAGTAACAGCTGTAGAGTATGATGCTAAGAAGGAGGTACCACCGCCAGTACCCTGTTCCCCCCGGGGTACCACCACCAGTACCCTGTGCGCCCCGGGGTACCACCACCAGTACCCTGTGCCCCCGGGTACCACCACCAGTACCCTGTGCCCCCGGGTACCACCACCAGTACCCTGTGCCCCCGGGTACCACCACCCGTACCCAGTGCCCCCCGGGGTACCACCACCAGTTCCCTGTGCCCCCCGGGGTACCACCACCAGTACCCTGTGCCCCGGGGTACCACCACCAGTACCCTGTGTCTCCCGGGGTACTGACACCAGTACCCTGTGCCCCACGGGGTATCACCACCAGTAACCTGTGCCCCCCGGGGTACCACCACCAGTACCCTGTGCCCCCGGGTACCGCCGCCAGTACCCTGTGGCCCCCGGGGTACCGCCACCAGTACCCTGTGCCCCCGGGGTACCGCCACCAGTACCCTGTGCCCCCCGGGTACCACCACCAGTACCCTGTGCCCCGGGGTACCACCACCAGTACCCTGTGCCCCCCGGGGTACCGCCACCAGTACCCTGTGCCCCACGGGGTACCACCACCAGTAACCTGTGCCCCCCGGGGTACCACCACCAGTAAACTGTGCCCCCGGGTACCGCCGCCAGTACCCTGTGGCCCCCGGGGTACCGCCACCAGTACCCTGTGCCCCCGGGTACCGCCGCCAGTACCCTGTGGCCCCCGGGTACCGCCACCAGTACCCTGTGCCCACGGGGTACCGCCACCTGTACCCCCGGGGTACCGCCACCAGTACCCTGTGCCCCCGGGGTACCGCCACCAGTACCCTGTGCCCCCGGGGTACCGCCACCAGTACCCTGTGCCCCCGGGGTACCGCCACCAGTACCCTGTGCCCCCGGGGTACCGCCACCCGTACCCTGTGCCCCCGGGGTACCGCCACCAGTACCCTGTGCCCCCCGGGGTACCGCCACCAGTACCCTGTGCCACCTGGGGTACCGCCACCAGTACCCTGTGCCCCCGGGGTACCGCCACCAGTACCCTGTGCCCCCGGGGTACCGCCACCAGTACCCTGTGCCCCGGGTTTGACCAAAAGGGGGAGGGGGGGAACTTCGATATAAGGCCAAAGTGTATATGTATATATATATATATATATATATATATATATATATATATATATATATATATATATATATATATATATATATATATATATATATATATTATTAAATATGACCGAAAAAGTAAGATTAATAATTCTAACACGAATTTTCTCGATCTTTCTTACGTTTCTTTTCACTGCTGATGGTAATTCAAAAATCAATTCTCCAAAATTCATTTTTATTTCTAGTCTGACGTGACACTTGAGCGCATTTCGTAAAACTTATTACATTTTCAAAGACTTTAGTTTACACACACACACACACAACTTTAACTGAATAGAGCTTAAACATCTTCGAGTTTTTTATACCTACATTTGGGTGAGGTGACATGTTACAATAGTTTTGGATTAGGTGAAAATAAACTTTTTACACAAGACAGAACACGAAACAATGGGTATTAAAGGTAGGTAACTGCAGAAGGCCTATTTTTATTGGCCCATATTTCTTGATGCTTCTATATTGGAGCGGAGTCTTGAAGTGGGTAGAATATAGTTGTGCATTAATTCGCTGTTAATTGCTGGTGTTGACTTCTTGATGTGTAGTGCCTCGCAGATGTCAAGCCGCCTGCTATCGCTGTATCTATCAATGATTTCTGTGTTGTTTGCCAAGATTTCTCTGGTGATGGTTTGGTTGTGGGAAGTCTCTGAAAATGTAATAAGTTTTACGAAACGCGCTCAAGTGTCGCGTCAGACTAGAAATAAAAATGAATTTTGGAGAATTGATTTTTGAATTACCATCAGCAGTGAAAAGAAACGTAAGAAAGATCGAGAAAATTCGTGTTAGAATTATTAATCTTACTTTTTCGGTCATATTTAATAATATATGTCTACAGAAAAGACTGCTACCAATATATATATTATATATATATATATATATATATATATATATATATATATATATATATATATATATATATATATATATATATATATATATATATATATATGTCGTACCTAGTAGCCAGAACGCACTTCTCAGGCTTCTATGCATGGCCCGATTTGCCTAATAAGCCAAGTTTTCACGAATTAATTGTTTTTCGACTACCTAACCTACATAACCTAACCTAACCTAACTTTTTCGGCTACCTAACCTAACCTAACCTATAAAGATAGGTTAGGTTAGGTTAGGTAGGGTTGGTTAGGTTCGGTCATATAACTACGTTAATCTTAACTCCAGTGAAAAAAAATTGACCTCATACATAATGAAATGGGTAGCTTTATCATTTCATAAGAAAAAAATTTGAGAAAATATATTAATTCAGGAAAACTTGGCTTATTAGGCAAATCGGGCCTTGCATAGTAGGCTGAGAAGTGCGTTCTGGCTACTAGGTACGACATATGTATAAATATATATATATATATATATATATATATATATATATATATATATATATATATATATATATATATATATATATATTTCATCATCACAAGACAGAACAAGAGTATTAATAGGGTATTAATTTCATCAACACAAGACAGAACACGAAACAATGGATATTGAATAGAAGTGTTTGTAGAAAGCCTATTGGTCCATATTTCTTGATGCTTCTATATTGGAGCGGAGTCTTGAGGTGGGTAGAATATAGTTGTGCAATAATTGGCTGTTGATTGCTGGTGTTGACTTCTTGATGTGTAGTGCCTCGCAAACGTCAAGCCGCCTGCTATCGCTGTATCTATCGATGATTTCTGTGTTGTTTACTAGGATTTAGAAATCCTAGTAAACAACAATCGATGAAATCGATGATTTCTGTGTTGTTTACTAGGATTTAGAAATCCTAGTAAACAACACAGAAATCATCGATAGATACAGCGATAGCAGGCGGCTTGACGTTTGCGAGGCACTACACATCAAGAAGTCAACACCAGCAATCAACAGCCAATTATTGCACAACTATATTCTACCCACCTCAAGACTCCGCTCCAATATAGAAGCATCAAGAAATATGGACCAATAGGCTTTCTACAAACACTTCTATTCAATATCCATTGTTTCGTGTTCTGTCTTGTGTTGATGAAATTAATACCCTATTAATACTCTTGTTCTGTCTTGTGTTGATGAAATTAATACCCTATATATATATATATATATATATATATATATATATATATATATATTTTATACATATATGTATATATATATATATATAATATATGCATGCAACAACACTGATCCAAGTATGCGGAAAAAAAAACATTTAAAAATTAGAGAATGAAGAACGCGTTTTCGGCTCATTCGCCTTCATCAGAGCAACATAGAAAGCGAGAGATCTGTTCATTTATATTTGTGTTCATATATATGTTCATATATACTTCTACGAGCTACAAGGCGGGTCTCAAATTGGGATTTTTTGTAAAGTTATTGAACATTTTTTTCAATGCTTTCTAATAAATCCCGAAATTGCGGAGACAGGATATATATATATATATATATATATATATATATATATATATATATATATATATATATATATATATATATATATATATATATATATATATATATATATATATCTTTAGAACACTTTCCCACCAGGAGACTCGAACCCTAGCCAGTACAGAAGCCTTCCAGCAACTGGCATAACAGGTACGCCTTAACCCTCTCCACCACCTGCAAGTGACCCCTCACTTGCTCTAGTGCTCTTGGGAGGTGGTGATCTTTGTGGTATTTAAATACTCCGAAATTACCATCTCTTTTAAGGGTCTGAGCAGGTGGTGGAGAGGGTTAAGGCGTACCTGTTATGCCAGTTGCTGGAAGGCTTCTGTGCTGGCTAGGGTTCGAGTCTCCTGGTGGGAAAGTGTTCTAAAGTTGTATACTTGACTCTCGTGTTTAGGAGAGTTGTGCCTTAAGCATAGACACGTGTCTTCCCATATTAACAGGGACTTGATGAAATTAACGTCTAAATGACCCCTCACTTGCTCTAGTGCTCTTGGGAGGTGGTGATCTTTGTGGTATTTAAATACTCCGAAATTACCATCTCTTTTAAGGGTGGTAATTTAATTAGGTGGTAATTCTCCACCACTTGCAGGTGGTGGAGAGGGTTAAGGCGTACCTGTTATGCCAGTTGCTGGAAGGCTTCTGTGCTGGCTAGGGTTCGAGTCTCCTGGTGGGAAAGTGTTCTAAAGTTGTATACTTGACTCTCGTGTTTAGGAGAGTTGTGCCTTAAGCATAGACACTGTGTCTTCCCATATTAACAGGGACTTGATGAAATTAACGTCTTAATGACCCCTCACTTGCTCTAGTGCTCTTGGGAGGTGGTGATCTTTGTGGTATTTAAATACTCCGAAATTACCATCTCTTTTAAGGGTCTGAGCAGGTGGTGGAGAGGGTTAAGGCGTACCTGTTATGCCAGTTGCTGGAAGGCTTCTGTGCTGGCTAGGGTTCGAGTCTCCTGGTAGGAAAGTGTTCTAAAGTTGTATACTTGACTCTCGTGTTTAGGAGAGTTGTGCCTTAAGCATAGACACTGTGTCTTCCCATATTAACAGGGACTTGATGAAATTAACGTCTAAATGACCCCTCACTTGCTCTAGTGCTCTTGGGAGGTGGTGATCTTTGTGGTATTTAAATACTCCGAAATTACCATCTCTTTTAAGGGTCTGAGCAGGTGGTGGAGAGGGTTAAGGCGTACCTGTTATGCCAGTTGCTGGAAGGCTTCTGTGCTGGCTAGGGTTCGAGTCTCCTGGTGGGAAAGTGTTCTAAAGTTGTATACTTGACTCTCGTGTTTAGGAGAGTTGTGCCTTAAGCATAGACACTGTGTCTTCCCATATTAACAGGGACTTGATGAAATTAACGTCTAAATGACCCCTCACTTGCTCTAGTGCTCTTGGGAGGTGGTGATCTTTGTGGTATTTAAATACTCCGAAATTACCATCTCTTTTAAGGGTCTGAGCAGGTGGTGGAGAGGGTTAAGGCGTACCTGTTATGCCAGTTGCTGGAAGGCTTCTGTGCTGGCTAGGGTTCGAGTCTCCTGGTGGGAAAGTGTTCTAAAGTTGTATACTTGACTCTCGTGTTTAGGAGAGTTGTGCCTATATATATATATATATATATATATATATATATATATATATATATATATATATATATATATGGAATTGTTCGTTTGTGTGTAACCGCTAATCTCCCAAAGTTCTTCACCGATTGCTTTGAAATTTTGACAACGTTGCATTTGAAGAGGCGCGTCTTTTATATACTTACTATATAGATGCCACCCCTGTGACGGGTAAAAACATGCATTTTTGAAAAACAGTGCCATCTGTTGCACGTAAGAGCAACACACACGCTATACTATATATGTTACAATTCCATTTCAATGTTTCTGATTGCATTGATAAATTGAATCTTCATAGATTTTTATTTATTTTCATTTTGATTTAAATATTTTGTGTGAATTGCATTGGAATTGAGCTGTGTTGTTTACCATACCATTCATTTTGTGAGTATAGTATATTTTTTTTAATTTTTCATATTTTCATTTCATTTTTTAACTGTTTTTCTTCTATTTCAGTGATGGGAACATCAGATCACTTGATGTTTCCAATTTTCTGATGGGAACATCAGACCATTTTTTAAGGCATCGGACGAGGGAGTGAGGAATGGTGGGGAGGATGAGGGGACAAGGGAGGGGGTAATGGTGGGGAGGATGAGGGGACAAGGGAGGGGGTAATGGTGGGGAGGATGAGGGGACAAGGGAGGGGGTAATGGTGGGGAGGATGAGGGGACAAGGGAGGGGGTAATGGTGGGAAGGAAGAGGACACGGTGGAGTGGGGAATGGTTAGGAGGCCGAGCAGACGGGTGAGAGGGGAATTGTGGGGGAGGACTGTGGGACAGGGAAGATGGCAGTGGTTCAGCAATGCACATGCGATGCTGAGCCACAGCAATGCGTGGCCGGCTACTATATATATATAATATATATATATATATATATATATATATATATATATATATATATATATATATATATATATATATATATATATATATATAAATATATATGTATATATATATATATATAAATATATATATATATATATATATATATATATATATATATATATATATATATATTATATACAATATATAATCCTCACCGCCAGCCTTCCTGCCTGTACACAGCTGCCTGTACACACCTGCTCGTCCGGTACACAGCTGCCTGTACACACCTGCTCGTCCGGTACACAGCTGCCTGTACACACCTGCTCGTTCGGTACACAGCTGCCTGTACACACCTGCTCCATGGTGCCAGCGACGCGGGTCATCCTGGCTAGGCGGCCCGTGGTGTCGTCGCCCGGATGGTTCCACAGCGACACACGACTCCGACGACTGGAGCCGTCGTCCCGGCTGTAGGAGCGAGCTTGTATTTCCTCATTGTTCTCCACGGCCTGCCTCACCTTCCTCACCTCCGCCTCATTCAGCATCTTTCTGTCGAAGGAATAACTGTTACTCACCTTCCTCACCTCCGCCTCATTCAGCATCTTTCTGTCGAAGGAATAACTGTTACTCACAATGAGGGTCGGACAGGAGCTGCTGCTGCTGTGAAGGACACTCAACATAGCCACAGTTTGGCGGCGTTGAGGATTGACTGGGTACATGAACAGTTTCACACACGACCTCAAGAACATGTCGGTCGGCAACTTACATAATCTCATTAGTTGCGTTAAGGGCTATAGGAACATGTGACAGGTTATGTACAAGTACCGATCAAAGATCTCACGTAGTGGACACCCCGCGAACACTAAACCAAAATGGCCCTATTCTCCGCTTGTTACAACTTGTAATAAGATTGTTACATCTTGTTATAAAGTTTTTATGAAGTATGTAACGTTGTTACAGGTTGTTAGGTGTTAAAACTTATTCTAACGTCGTAACAATGTCGTAATTTCGTGGTACGTTTGGTGGGCACTTTTTTTTTAATTGCACACTAAGGGGGGCTTTTAGCTGAGTGGACAGCGCTCTATACTCGTGGACCTAATGACCGGGGCTCTATAAATTCACTATCCGGACCCACTGACGTCCGGATAGACAGGCTGAGGAACGGTGACTATCCGGCTACTGGAGGGCACCACGGTGTACTCACCTGACGAGGACGTAGCCGTTCTTGACATAGGCCGCCTTCATGGCCGGGGTCACACTCCAGGACTCCGGGTCGTACACGAACTCAGAGTCTGGCCAAAAGAGACAAGCACAATGTCAGCAGTAATGACGACTCTTGACAGCAAGATGGCTCTTGAAAAATAAACTTTTCCAGGAATACAAGGGGGGGGGGGGGGAGGAGGGGTTTCCGGCAGCACCCAGCTCGAACCAGCACCACAACAAAAATTTAGACCTCATGCAGTGTTAAGAGAGGGTCACAGGACGCGAGAGCCAGACATAGAGAAGACACACAGGATACAGCTGCCAGACATAGAGAAGACACACAGGATACAGCTGCCAGACGTAGAGACACAGAATACAGCTGCCAGACGTAGAGACAGAATACAGCTGCCAGACGTAGAGACCCAGAATACAGCTGCCAGACGTAGAGACACAGAATACAGCTGCCAGACGTAGAGACCCAGAATACAGCTGCCAGACGTAGAGACACAGAATACAGCTGCCAGACGTAGAGACACAGAATACAGCTGCCAGACATAGAGACACAGGATACAGCTGCCAGACGTAGAGACACAGAATACAGCTGTCAGACGTAGAAACACAGAATACAGCTGCCAGACGTAGAGACACAGAATACAGCTGCCAGACATAGAGACACAGAATACAGCTGCCAGACATAGAGACACAGAATACAGCTGCCAGACGTAGAGACACAGAATACAGCTGCCAGACGTAGAGACACAGAATACAGCTGCCAGACGTAGAGACACAGAATACAGCTGCCAGACGTAGAGACACAGAATACAGCTGCCAGACGTAGAGACACAGAATACAGCTGCCAGACATAGAGACACAGAATACAGCTGCCAGACGTAGAGACACAGAATACAGCTGCCAGACGTAGAGACACAGAATACAGCTGCCAGACATAGAGACACAGAATACAGCTGCCAGACGTAGAGACACAGAATACAGCTGCCAGACATAGAGACACAGAATACAGCTGCCAGACATAGAGACACAGAATACAGCTGCCAGACATAGAGACACAGAATACAGCTGCCAGACGTAGAGACACAGAATACAGCTGCCAGACGTAGAGACACAGAATACAGCTGCCAGACATAGAGACACAGAATACAGCTGCCAGACATAGAGACACAGAATACAGCTGCCAGACGTAGAGACACAGAATACAGCTGCCAGACGTAGAGACACAGAATACAGCTGCCAGACGTAGAGACACAGAATACAGCTGCCAGACGTAGAAACACAGAATACAGCTGCCAGACGTAGAGACACAGAATACAGCTGCCAGACGTAGAGACACAGAATACAGCTGCCAGACATAGAGACACAGAATACAGCTGCCAGACGTAGAGACACAGAATACAGCTGCCAGACGTAGAGACACAGAATACAGCTGCCAGACGTAGAGACACAGAATACAGCTGCCAGACGTAGAGAAGACACACAGGATACAGCAGCAAACAGCAGTGACGACCATCTTCAGCTCACAAACTCGGCAGACGACTCCTGCTCCTCCAGTAACGAACGCAGGTCAACGACCATTTTCTCCATCTTTCTCTTCTATATATATACCTTCCCACCTGGGTGGGTATACCGCACCTGGGGGGTGGGTATACCGCACCTGGGTGGGTATACCCGCCTCCTAATGACTGGTGAAGAAGGGACTAGCGAGCAGTAATGAGCAGGAGGAGACAGAGAAGGAACGAGAGACCTCGCTCGTTACTTTATAACACCGACTTCATTAATGTTCATTCAACCGTTCAACCAACTCACTTGCCTCCGGAATAACGTATGATGGTATGACCGTGGGAGGTTGTACCAGGCTGGTGTATGACCGTGGGAGGTTGTACCAGGCAGGTGTATGACCGTGGGAGGTTGTACCAGGCGGGTGTATGACCGTGGGAGGTTGTACCAGGCGGGTGTATGACCGTGGGAGGTTGTACCAGGTGGGTGTATGACCGTGGGAGGTTGTACCAGGCGGGTGTATGACCGTGGGAGGTTGTACCAGGCGGGTGTATGACCGTGGGAGGTTGTACCAGGCGGGTGTATGACCGTGGGAGGTTGTACCAGGCAGGTGTATGACCGTGGGAGGTTGTACCAGGCAGGTGTATGACCGTGGGAGGTTGTACCAGGCGGGTGTATGACCGTGGGGGGTTGTACCAGGCGGGTGTATGACCGTGGGAGGTTGTACCAGGCGGGTGTATGACCGTGGGGGTGTACCAGGCGGGTGTATGACCGTGGGAGGTTGTACCAGGCGGGTGTATGACCGTGGGGGGTTGTACCAGGCGGGTGTATGACCGTGGGAGATTGTACCAGGCGGGTGTATGACCGTGGGAGATTGTACCAGCCTGGTGTATGACCGTTAGAGGTTGTACCAGGCGGGTGTATGACCGTGGGAGGTTGTACCAGGCGGGTATGGTATGAGGCGTTAGAGGTTGTACCAGGCGGGTGTATGACCGTGGGAGGGTGTACCATGCAGGTGTATGACCGTGGGAGGTTGTACCAGGCAGGTGTATCACCGTGGGAGGTTGTACCAGGCGGGTGTATTACCGTGGGAGATTGTACCAGGCGGGTGTATGACCGTGGGAGATTGTACCAGATGGGTGTATGACTGTGGGAGATTGTACCCACAGTGGGGGGTTGTAACAGGCTGGTTATGCTGGTATATACAGTGGGGGGTTGTACCAGACTGGGTATACTGGTATATACAGTGGGGGTTGTACCAGGCTGGGTATGCTGGTATATACAGTGGGGGTTGTACCAGGCTAGTTATGCTGGTATATACAGTGGGGGTTGTACCAGGCTGGGTATGCTGGTATATACAGTGGGGGTTGTACCAGGCTGGGTATGCTGGAACATGACCGTGGGCATATTGGTATGCAGGCGTGAGAAAGCCACAGGAGTAAATATGAGGCGTGATCGCGCGAGAGAATGTAAACACAGCCCAGCTGATCAGACCAAAACATCGACGCCCATTGGATGGTTCGGCAGCACCTCGCGCCTCTGATTGGCTACATATTTATTTGATATAACAGAGATTGTGGGAAGGTTGTTCGTTGTTGCCAAGCGGTGGTGGTAGCATATGAATATAATAATATTTGCTTACGGAGATAATATTGTATTTTACAGACAAATGACTTTAACCAGATGTGAGACATCAGTATAGCTGCTGCTCCCTGGGTTAAGTGTTGCTTTCAGACACAAGTACACACACACACACACACCACAACAACACACAGCGAGGGCCGAGACCTCGGATTGGCGTGAAGTCACCAGTGGAGTCCCACAGGGCTCTGTACTCGGACCTATCCTGTTTCTGATATACGTAAATGATCTCCCAGAGGGTATAGACTCATTCCTCTCAATGTTTGCTGACGACACCAAAATTATGAGAAGGATTAAGTCAGAGGAGGACAGCTTGAGGCTTCAAGAAGACCTAGACAAGCTGCAGGGATGGTCGAACAAACGGCTGTTAGAGTTTAACCCAAGCAAATGCAATGTAATGAAGATAGGTGTAGGGAGCAGGAGACCAGATACAAGGTATCATTTGGGAGATGAAATTCTTCAAGATTCAAAGAGAGAGAAAGACATCGGGGTTGATATCACGCCAGACCTGTCCCCTGAAGCCCATATCAAGAGGATAACATCAGCGGCATATATCAGGTTGGCTAACATAAGAACGGCCTTTAGAAAGTCGTGTAAGGAATCATTCATAACTTTGTATACCACATATGTCAGACCAACCCTGGAGTATGCGGCTCCAGCATAGAGTCCATATGTAGTCAAGCATGAGACTAAACTGGAAAAGGTTCAAAGGTTTGCCATCAGACTAGTACCCGAGCTGAGAGGTATGAGCTACGAGGAGAGACTATGGGAATTAAACCTCACGTCGCTTGAAGACATAAGAGTTTGGGGAGACATGATCACCACATACAAGATTCTCAAAGGAATTGATAGGGTAGATAAAGACAGGCTATTTAACACAAGGGGCACACGCTCTATGGTACACAGGTGGAAACCGAGTGCCCAAATGAGCCACAGAGATATTAGAAAAAAGTTTTTTAGTGTCAGAGTAGTAGACAAATGTAATGCATTAGGTAGTGATGTAGTGGAGGCTGACTCCATACACAGTTTCAAGTGTAGATATGATAGAGCCCAATAGGCTCAGAAACCTGTACATCAGTTGATTGACAGTTGAGAGGCGGGACCAAAGAGCCAGAGCTCAACCCCCGCAAGCACAACTAGGCGAGTACACCCCCCCCCCCCAATAAAAGCTCCTCCCTGTCACTAAGACATGCGAGTCTCAACAAACTAGACACTATTTCATACATCAATGTGTCTCTAATCGTGCCAAGGAAAACTATCTTGTAAGCATTGTTTTTTAACTACTGATAGTTTGTCTCCATTATATATAAATATCTTCTCGTTTTGAGAATATATGTAAAACGCCGTTTGGGGCCGGAACTCTTACCAGCCATGATGGGAGAGTGACTGGGACACGCAGCAACCTCCCCACTTGACCACACTTGCACTACTGATGTATCCTGGCGACTCGTGGCACTCCAGTGTGTTGTCGTCACCTAAGTGCGCTTTATCGCTACATGCCGTGTTTTCTGGTTGATGCTACTGTGGGTGTTTTTCTTGTTTTAAACTTTTATAGCCAATAAAGTTATCTGTTGAGAGTTAGTCAGGTAATCTTTCGTCATACTCATAGCAACTTTGAACGCCGTTTCAGTGTTGCCATCGCAAAACGGAAGCTATAATTTTTGCGCCGCAATGTAAATACTCCGTTTTCATTCCAGTGTTGCCAGTTTAGCACTGTTAAGCAAACATTTTGTCCTTTACCAAGGACTATCTTCATATGCCACACTAACTGTTGCTGTGTGCATCACTGTTAGAGTGCAAAAGACTAAAACCTCGTGCATCGTGCTGTGACCACAGGTGTTCTATGAGTTAGCGTCGCTCTCAGTGACGTAGGCTATATGCTACGGGAGGCAGTGTTGACATCGTGCTGTTTGGCTGTTTACATACTCGCTAACTTGTAACAGACGCTACCAAGAATGACAAATTCCGCCAGAGATCTCCCGAATATGAAGATAATACAGCGACGCGAGATCATTCCAACAAGAGAGTTACAGACGAGAATATAGAGTTAGAAAAGATTGTATTAATAGTGAATTTTATCTATCATAGCTGCAGTACATGAAAACAGAGAGAGGGGCCTCACTTAGCCAGTAACCGGGTTCTTTACTTATCAAACTGTATATGAGGCCTTAGTGCCTCTTCTTACTTGATCCCACCCCGAGTCATAGGTAAGTTATTAAGAACTGGCAGTAATAATCAATCTAAAGGAAAAGGGGGTAAACAACACTAAACAGAACCATCACCAAGTGTACTTCTTAACTAAATATACACATGTGTACAGCACATAACACTGCAGGTGTACATAACACTTTCACGGTCGCACTGGACACTATAAAACTTCTGCAATCTTCTTTCCCGGCGAGTCCACTTCTATCTTCTATCGTACACCACTCAAGGTTCCCTCCCTGAGTCTGTCTTCTATGGTCCTCACGCCGGCGAGTTCACCTTTCTCAGTAAATCATGGGCCAGTCCTACACAGTATTGTCACGGTGCCAAAACACCACTTCTACTCTCCAGCAACACACTGGCAGGGGTCTCCAGCAACACACTGGCAGGGGTCTCCAGCAACACACTGGCAGGGGTCTCCAGCAACACACTGGCAGGGGTCTCCAGCAACACACTGGCAGGGGTCTCCAGCAACACACTGGCAGGGGTCTCCAGCAACACACTGGCAGGGGTCTCCAGCAACACACTGGCAGGGGTCTCCAGCAACACACTGGCAGGGGTCTCCAGCAACACACTGGCAGGGGTCTCCAGCAACACACTGGCAGGGGTCTCCAGCAACACACTGGCAGGGGTCTCCAGCAACACACTGGCAGGGGTCTCCAGCAACACACTGGCAGGGGTCTCCAGCAACACACTGGCAGGGGTCTCCAGCAACACACTGGCAGGGGTCTCCAGCAACACACTGGCAGGGGTCTCCAGCAACACACTGGCAGGGGTCTCCAGCAACACACTGGCAGGGGTCTCCAGCAACACACTGGCAGGGGTCTCCAGCAACACACTGGCAGGGGTCTCCAGCAACACACTGGCAGGGGTCTCCAGCAACACACTGGCAGGGGTCTCCAGCAACACACTGGCAGGGGTCTCCAGCAACACACTGGCAGGGGTCTCCAGCAACACACTGGCAGGGGTCTCCAGCAACACACTGGCAGGGGTCTCCAGCAACACACTGGCAGGGGTCTCCAGCAACACACTGGCAGGGGTCTCCAGCAACACACTGGCAGGGGTCTCCAGCAACACACTGGCAGGGGTCTCCAGCAACACACTGGCAGGGGTCTCCAGCAACACACTGGCAGGGGTCTCCAGCAACACACTGGCAGGGGTCTCCAGCAACACACTGGCAGGGGTCTCCAGCAACACACTGGCAGGGGTCTCCAGCAACACACTGGCAGGGGTCTCCAGCAACACACTGGCAGGGGTCTCCAGCAACACACTGGCAGGGGTCTCCAGCAACACACTGGCAGGGGTCTCCAGCAACACACTGGCAGGGGTCTCCAGCAACACACTGGCAGGGGTCTCCAGCAACACACTGGCAGGGGTCTCCAGCAACACACTGGCAGGGGTCTCCAGCAACACACTGGCAGGGGTCTCCAGCAACACACTGGCAGGGGTCTCCAGCAACACACTGGCAGGGGTCTCCAGCAACACACTGGCAGGGGTCTCCAGCAACACACTGGCAGGGGTCTCCAGCAACACACTGGCAGGGGTCTCCAGCAACACACTGGCAGGGGTCTCCAGCAACACACTGGCAGGGGTCTCCAGCAACACACTGGCAGGGGTCTCCAGCAACACACTGGCAGGGGTCTCCAGCAACACACTGGCAGGGGTCTCCAGCAACACACTGGCAGGGGTCTCCAGCAACACACTGGCAGGGGTCTCCAGCAACACACTGGCAGGGGTCTCCAGCAACACACTGGCAGGGGTCTCCAGCAACACACTGGCAGGGGTCTCCAGCAACACACTGGCAGGGGTCTCCAGCAACACACTGGCAGGGGTCTCCAGCAACACACTGGCAGGGGTCTCCAGCAACACACTGGCAGGGGTCTCCAGCAACACACTGGCAGGGGTCTCCAGCAACACACTGGCAGGGGTCTCCAGCAACACACTGGCAGGGGTCTCCAGCAACACACTGGCAGGGGTCTCCAGCAACACACTGGCAGGGGTCTCCAGCAACACACTGGCAGGGGTCTCCAGCAACACACTGGCAGGGGTCTCCAGCAACACACTGGCAGGGGTCTCCAGCAACACACTGGCAGGGGTCTCCAGCAACACACTGGCAGGGGTCTCCAGCAACACACTGGCAGGGGTCTCCAGCAACACACTGGCAGGGGTCTCCAGCAACACACTGGCAGGGGTCTCCAGCAACACACTGGCAGGGGTCTCCAGCAACACACTGGCAGGGGTCTCCAGCAACACACTGGCAGGGGTCTCCAGCAACACACTGGCAGGGGTCTCCAGCAACACACTGGCAGGGGTCTCCAGCAACACACTGGCAGGGGTCTCCAGCAACACACTGGCAGGGGTCTCCAGCAACACACTGGCAGGGGTCTCCAGCAACACACTGGCAGGGGTCTCCAGCAACACACTGGCAGGGGTCTCCAGCAACACACTGGCAGGGGTCTCCAGCAACACACTGGCAGGGGTCTCCAGCAACACACTGGCAGGGGTCTCCAGCAACACACTGGCAGGGGTCTCCAGCAACACACTGGCAGGGGTCTCCAGCAACACACTGGCAGGGGTCTCCAGCAACACACTGGCAGGGGTCTCCAGCAACACACTGGCAGGGGTCTCCAGCAACACACTGGCAGGGGTCTCCAGCAACACACTGGCAGGGGTCTCCAGCAACACACTGGCAGGGGTCTCCAGCAACACACTGGCAGGGGTCTCCAGCAACACACTGGCAGGGGTCTCCAGCAACACACTGGCAGGGGTCTCCAGCAACACACTGGCAGGGGTCTCCAGCAACACACTGGCAGGGGTCTCCAGCAACACACTGGCAGGGGTCTCCAGCAACACACTGGCAGGGGTCTCCAGCAACACACTGGCAGAGGTCTCCAGCAACACACTGGCAGAGGTCTCCAGCAACACACTGGCAGGGGTCTCCAGCAACACACTGGCAGGGGTCTCCAGCAACACACTGGCAGGGGTCTCCAGCAACACACTGGCAGGGGTCTCCAGCAACACACTGGCAGGGGTCTCCAGCAACACACTGGCAGGGGTCTCCAGCAACACACTGGCAGGGGTCTCCAGCAACACACTGGCAGGGGTCTCCAGCAACACACTGGCAGGGGTCTCCAGCAACACACTGGCAGGGGTCTCCAGCAACACACTGGCAGGGGTCTCCAGCAACACACTGGCAGGGGTCTCCAGCAACACACTGGCAGGGGTCTCCAGCAACACACTGGCAGGGGTCTCCAGCAACACACTGGCAGGGGTCTCCAGCAACACACTGGCAGGGGTCTCCAGCAACACACTGGCAGGGGTCTCCAGCAACACACTGGCAGGGGTCTCCAGCAACACACTGGCAGGGGTCTCCAGCAACACACTGGCAGGGGTCTCCAGCAACACACTGGCAGGGGTCTCCAGCAACACACTGGCAGGGGTCTCCAGCAACACACTGGCAGGGGTCTCCAGCAACACACTGGCAGGGGTCTCCAGCAACACACTGGCAGGGGTCTCCAGCAACACACTGGCAGGGGTCTCCAGCAACACACTGGCAGGGGTCTCCAGCAACACACTGGCAGGGGTCTCCAGCAACACACTGGCAGGGGTCTCCAGCAACACACTGGCAGGGGTCTCCAGCAACACACTGGCAGGGGTCTCCAGCAACACACTGGCAGGGGTCTCCAGCAACACACTGGCAGGGGTCTCCAGCAACACACTGGCAGGGGTCTCCAGCAACACACTGGCAGGGGTCTCCAGCAACACACTGGCAGGGGTCTCCAGCAACACACTGGCAGGGGTCTCCAGCAACACACTGGCAGAGGTCTCCAGCAACACACTGGCAGGGGTCTCCAGCAACACACTGGCAGGGGTCTCCAGCAACACACTGGCAGGGGTCTCCAGCAACACACTGGCAGGAATCACTTTAGGGTCTTTGTTTGGAGGACGGGCTGCCGTAAACAGCTGGGGTTTGGCGGGTGCATGGAATCACTTTAGGGTCTTTGTTTGAAGGACGGGCTGTTACACCGACTCGTGACGTGTTCACTCCGGAACACGTCACGAGTTCAGGACTGCCCCGGGTGAACTGACTCCTGTAGACCAAGGTACCGTCCTCATCACTTATGGGGAGTAAAAATGTGATTAGTAAGACATCCCTCAACTACACAGGGATCCAATAATATCACAGCCTTCCACTGGGGAACAGAAATGGGGTCGGATGCACTCAACAGATGGCGTTAACATCATCTCTCTCTCTCACACACTCTCTCTCTCTCTCTCTCTCTCTCT